AGTCCAGCCCCCAGAGGAGGGAATCCACAGTCTGGGAGCTCAGCATCAACACTGCCTGGCTGGTAACCTCACTCTATCCTTGGCCACACACACCAGATACTGGACTCTCTTATTGGCCTTTGATAACCAATGCCCCCCCCCACACACACACACATACACACCTTGTTCATCACTCCCGGGAACCCATTTTCCCTCGTATATGTAAATCCCTGTAAATATAGGTAAGACAGCCTAGTTGTCTTACCAGCCATCCTGTTTGGGCTTGTCCTATTCCATTCTGACAGGAAAGGCCAACAAAGCCAAGGAGCTAAAGATCAGCATGAGGGCAAGGACTGGCATAATCATTGAGAGAAGCCAGTGAGAGCCAAGACTGTGCAGGATCAACCTTGGCAATTGTGCCGCATAGCTGAAGGGCACCAAATGAGGGGGGTGACAGACAGGGCACAGATACCATCTTCCCAGAGAGCTCTGTGCCATGAGGGTAGTCACATGCCATGCTGCCTGCTCTGTTTGCTATTGTTTCATGACAATGTGTATGATAGCCAGCTGGTTCGCTGAAAGAAAGCAAGTTCTTGCTAACCACTTTCTAATTTAAACCAGATCAAACAGGGTAGGAGCCCCGACGATGGGTGTCAGCTCTGGTGTCCGCTTCTACCTTCTTCCTATTCTTTTCTCTTTTCTCTACCACAACTTTTCCCCCTTCTCCCTAGCCCCCATCAGAAAATTGTCATAGGAAGCAATTTCTTAAGCAATTATTAATACTTTCAGAGAGGAAAAGCCTATGTAGCAAGAATTCAAAACAAAAACCACATGAGTTTTGGAATCAGAGACCTGCGTTCAAATCCTGACTTTGCTACCCCTAACTGGAACGTGTATGTGCGTGTGTGTGTGTGTGTGTGTGTGCATGTGAGAGAAAGAGAGAGGGGAGAAAGAGCAGAGCACCTGGCCTATCATAGACACTCAACAAACCATAATTATTATCCTGTTTTTATTGATAAGATTTTCATTGATAAGTTTTTGATGCACCTTGTTGGAAAGGGAAATATGGACTGTACAAAGAGAAGAAAGAAATGAGAGGGTTTGGACTGTGTATACCTAAAAGGTGAGAACAGTGAGGCAAGGCTGTGGTTCTGAGGAAGGAAATGAACAAGAGAGATAAGTCACGGAGGGAGAAGACCCTCCCCGCAAAGCATTCCTAAATTTGCCACTGAGAAATGGAAGCTCAGAGACAAGAGCTAAGGAGGTTTAGTCAAGAAGAATAAAGGAAAATGAAGGATATCAAACAGTAGTGCCATTTCCAGCCACTCTCCAAATGAAAGGTGACAGCCTTTCCACATGGATTTACCAATCTGAGCACACACAGTTCATCAGACCCTATTTGCATTATTTCCTGCTGCTGCTTTTACTTGACATTTATGTGAATTGGCTCCAGAATCCATATCAAATGGCACCTTCCCAGATTTTTTTTTCCCAAAGAATCCACAGACAAAATGTGTATATGAATACATTTTTATCTAGTCTGTAAATGTAGGGGCTCCTTCAGCTTGTACTGAATCTAGGTTTGCCTGTGCATGTCTACATTTCCTCATGTTTCTGTGTCCATCTTTGGATTTCATTTCATCAGGGAACTCTGGAAAAGTCTGGGAAAGTATCTGCATTTTGTCAACAGTGCAGTGAATGGCAGTTAAGTTATTAAGAACTGATTTCCAAGATGCTTATTGAATGTTGGTGACAAAATAAAGTCCTTTCTTTACAGATAGATAAGATTGATTGTCTGGAGGAGGGGAATGGGGCACATATATAAGCATCCACATATGTGGAGCATATATAGAGAGGCATATGTGGAATATGTATTTATATACTACCCCTAAATTTATTGGGTGAAAAAGTTTCAGAGGATATTGAGAAAAGAACTGGAAGTTGACGAAGAGCCTACATATTCAGATCTGTAGCCAGTAGGTAGAAACTGACTCACATGCAGAGATGCTTGTGGTTAATAATTTTCCACATTTTGGCAAGGCCAGTAGGCTGATTCTCAGCTAGATAAGTGTGTAGGTTAAAAAAAAGACAGTTTTAATTCTGGGGGTATAGTAGCCACTCCTCTATAGCATGGCTAACAAATGTTGGGAAACTACAATCTGTGAAGTATACAGCAATCATGTAAAACAAAATGCTAGAGGAGACTTACTTGGGGATGCCCACATCTGTTAGACCTCATGGCTGAGGTCAGGGCTATTTTGGAAGACTTCCATTGTGTCAGCTCACACAAGTCTCCAAGATTGCTTCTTGTCTGGAATGCTAGGGGACAGGTCCTGCTGGGAAAGTCCTCAGGCACTGTAGGTGGCCCATTAACTCTTTCAACTATTAACTCCTTCATTTCCTTCAAAGAGTAATTGACTGCTTTGCCCCATTGTGGCTCCACAGACTCTGGCCTTTCTTAAAGTGCATTCTTTATTCACCAGTAAGCCTACTGCCGTGACAAAGTCTAGCTCTCACATTCTCAGTGCTGTTTGGCACAGGTCATGTTCTTCTTTGAGTGGCTTACATGGTATATAAATATAACGCTCTAAGCTTACCTGGCCGTACTGTGTGTATTCCCTGCCTCCCCCCACCCCTTGCCTTATTTCAAGCCATTATCACCCCTCACTTGGACTAATGCAGTATCTTTTAACCAACCTCCTTGCTTCTATCCACCCTCCACCCCACCCCAGTCTTTCCTCAGCTGCTGAAGTAATCGTTTTAAAATGCAAATTTGATCGTATCACTTCCAGCTTAAAATCCTTCTATGACTTTTCTTCTGAAACCAAACCCAAACTTCTTAATAGACCACACAAAAGGCCCCTAAAGTTTGGTCCTTGGGGCTGCAGCTTCATCTCCTTTAACTCCCCGCAAACACCCTGTGCTTGAGCCATTGTGAGATACTTACACTTCTGTAAACATACTGTGTTCTTTCACACCTTCTTGTCTTTGCCCCTGCTGGTGCAATTCTATGCTTAAAATACCCTTTCTCTCCTCTCTGCCTGACTAGCTCTGATTCATCTTTTTCTTAAAGGGCTTTATTGAGATTCAATTCATATAACATATAATTCATTAATTTAAAATGTACAATTCAGTGAGTTTAGTTTAGCCACAGAGTTGGGCAACGATCATCACTATTTAATGCCAGAATATGTTTGTCTCCCCGAAAGGAAACCCTGTACCCATTAGCAGACACTTTCCACTTCTCCCCAACTCCTCCCCCTGGCAATCATTAATTTACTTTCTGTCTCCATAGATTTACCTATTCCAGATTCATCTTTCACATTCCTCAGGTGTTGCCTCTTCTTGTTTGCCTCCTAGTCCCCTGATTTCAAAGTCTGTCCTCTGGGGTCCATTAATACCCTATGCACGGCTCTGTCTTAGCACTTATTCTACTGGATTCTCGCCTGCTTTCCCAGAGGAAATGATTTGCTCAGCTCTGAAACCCCAATGTCTAATACTTTGCCGGCTCATAGGTAGTGCTCCATAGCCACTGCTAAACCAGTGAATGACAGGGAGGAAGGCCTCTCCATGCGTGAGTGAGAGATGAGTGAATATATGGCTAGAGCCAGACGGTGAATGCTGAAGTGTCCATTTTTCAGCTCACTAGCACTTGGGTGAACTCAGCAACCACCACACTGATATCTCTTTCATCTCGACAGTGGATGCGCAGGCTCCAGAACCTAGGGAAACATTACCATAAGTGGTGCAGAAGGAATATATCCTCAGGAAATATTCATGATAACAGCAGTTTAAGCTTTACCTGTGGGACTAACAGCAACACTCTCAGGCCATCTTTCTGCTTAACTTTTTCAATTTTCTATTTATTCTCTCTTTCTCTCTCTCTCTCTCTCCCCCCTCCACTCCCACTCTCCAAACATCCTTAGGATATTCGCCTTTGTTTTTAAAGCACATTTTAGAATATCTCTGTTTAACAATGTAGGTCTTAAGATTTTTAAAAAATATTTTAGCATGAGATATCTGAACATGAATCTACTTTGAACGCTGTTCAGTTGTTCCATTTCAATGCACCACATCTCTTTTTTCGTCATTGGACATTAAAAAGCTCATTAGCCAGGGAATATAAACAATTTGAAAACTTGATGGAATATAAAGATGCTAAAAACAAAACTATCTCATTTTCAGCATTTTCTTGACTAGAGACAAATGGGGGTGTGCCCTGACTCAGACCACCTTTCTGTGTCTCTGTTTTTCTCCCTGTTTCAACTTCCTTAAATCTTTTCTTCTAATGTCTTATCCTATCTTTCTTGTCTCCCCTCCCCTTCATTCCTGATCTCTTTCCCTCTTTTTTGATTCTCTCCTCTGCCCACTTTGCTATTTGAGCCTTTCTTTACATTTCACTGTTTCCCCTCCACTTTCTCTTTCATTTTTCTACCTGACTAGCCCATTTTCTCTTTCTTTCCTCGGGTTCTTATCACCCAGGATGAGGTAGGGAAGCAGGGGAGATGAGTAGGAAAAAAGACAGGGAGAGATTGACAGTGGGGATGTCCTGCACTTACCCCAGCATCTGCCACCAAAGGGGATATGCCCTGGCCCGAATCACCCAGATTTCTTCCCCTTTAAAGTAAGGCACATAACCTCTCTGTGCCTCACTTTTCTCCTCTATAAAATTAAAGCAAAATAATACCTTCCCAGACTACCTCCCAGAGATGTTAGGGTCAAACCTGGGAATGAATATGAGAAAGGTTTGAAAAGAAACAGACCTCTGTGATTGGAAAGCACTGGGGGGAAAGGGTGGGAGGATGACTGCCTTGCACTGTGCAGGGACCTAATTAACTGAGGATTGTAGTTCTTGCCCTTTTGAGGAATGTGTTTCTTTTTACCTTTATTCTACTCACCCAATCACTTGGTTGTCTGTGTACCTTGTTTGAATGTTCTTAGTGTCTTCGGAGGGGAAGGATAACTTGCTCCTTTTTATGCTGTTGATTTTTATCCCTTCCTTTTCTCTTGCCTTGGGCTAGCAAATGGAACCTCCAGCAGCCAGCTCTCTACCCCCAAGTCTAAGCAGTCTCCCATCTCTACGCCTACCAGTCCTGGCAGCCTCCGGAAGCACAAGGTATTATGTCTCTTATACCTTACTAAACTCCTTTGCACTCAAGAGTTTCTTGAATGGCTGGGTGAAGGTTTTCTCTTCCATTCTACTTCAACAGCACATTAAGGCCAGAATTCCTTTTCATCTGGTTCCATTAGCTCGAAATTATGGGAACCCCAGCAGGGACCAAGCTTTTAGTCATTTCTGTTTATTCCTCTGACCCCTGGTTTATTTATTTCCAGTTACATTCTGGTACTTCTTCCTTTCGGAAGAAGTACAAAGGTCCCAAGTACCTATTCTGAGCTAATGAGGAAACCAAACTGTGTCTTGGGGGTAGGTTAAGCAATTGTCTCCCCGATTCAGAGACATAGCAAAGGAGGTGTTGAGGGGAATCTATGTCACCAATCACCAGTCAATATAAATGACAAAGATAGCAGTCAAAAAAAAAGTTGTACCGAGTTACTCCCTTCAGATTGACTGGACATCAACAAATGAATAGACCCCAGTTTCACCATGTACTCTTCATTACCAGGCAGATTCTGGTGCCGTGTAGAAAGAGAGGGCACATACACGTTGCATTGGCCTTCAGCAACATTTATACCCCTTCAGCTATTCCAAATAAATATATCATTAAAATAATAGAAGTGTATAAATTTTCTGGCCCCACTATCTAAACAGATTCCCACCCAGAAATCTCTCCTGTATACAAAATCTAGAGTGGTCACCGCCTTGAACCTCTTATAGCTGAGGCAGTGTTGATGTGGTTTCTTCTCTGATCACCACACTGTGGAGCAGCTTCCTCTCTGATTCTCTTGCTTTCTCCAGGCTCACAAGCCTTGATGTGAGATGAAAAAAGGCAAGAAGCCACCAGTATGGCTAACACCATTACAGAACCATAGATGATTGGAGCTGGAAGACATTTTAGATGGAGATAAATTAGTTTCATTTGATTCTTTCAATAATCTTATGAGGCTGACATTTTACAGATGAGGAATTTGAGACCCAGAAAGGTTAAGTTACTTACTACAATAACATAACTAGCTATAGGGCTGGTATGCAAGTCACTGCCACCGGTACGCTACAGCCAGTTCACTCTAGCTGATGGTGTACATTGCTTTCCAACTCTGTGTTCAGTGACATCATGTTGGTAACTTGAACTTGGCCATGGTGGGAATGTTTACACCATGGAAATTGGCACATACTATAAATCAAGGTGGATTTTTTTTTTTCTCACAGAAAGTCGGTTATTAAATTTAACAGCATGCCACTACCTGACATCCATTCTCATTTCCTTTTCTCTACATCAGGCTTTTAATTTCCTGGCTAATCTGGCCATTGCCTGCCCCATCATTTCTAATCCCTGTTGCATTCCTTTAATGACCCCTTTAACTTCTGACCAGGACCTTCTGGTTGTCCTGCTGAGCTGTTTTGTTTCCTCAAAGAAAGATTCACAAAACTGTTTGCGTAGCCAGTCTTACCCAGAGATTGTAAGGTGGATGAAAATTGCTTTTACAGTTGGATTTTAGTTATTCTTTGCTGAGCAGCAAAGGTTGTTAATATGGGCACTCAAGATAAGAGGAGCCTACTTCTGTTTTTCTACTATCCTCAGAGCACCTCCTATATGCTACACTGCTTCTTCCTATATCTTTGCCCTATGCCTTTCTGCCCTTATCTTCCTTCTGGGAAGTGTGAACTATCCTAACCCCTTCCATCAGTACCTTCCCCAAAGTGCTGAAGGCAGGTTAGGCATTTGGTTGCACACTCAAGACATTCAACTTTTCAACTGACATGTCTGGTTCATTTAGGCTGAGGAACCGTCATCCATAAAGCCATTGAGATGAGTGTTGGCATTGTTAAACTGTTTCTCCTGGTTGGGCTTGCAAGCACTTGTGGCTTGTTTGTTTTTTGACTCAATTCTAAAAACTATTTTAATCATTGAAGGACTAGAACAAGCTCACAGGTGGTAGCATTGTCAGAGCTTCACTGTTTTCTTAACTGTGGAATTTTCACTGTATCATTATATTTTTAAAATCACTCCTTTTTAAGATAGTTAAGCAAACACACATTAAGTAATAAATCATATCATTTTCTAGAGCAAACTTTTAAATAAACATTTAGATTTTGGTATAATTCTCACTATTTTTAAAATAAAAAACTTTTTATTTTTATATCATTTCGAACTTACAAAAGAGTTGCAAGAATATAAAGAACTTCTGTATCTCTTTACACAGATTCACCAGTTGTTTATATTTTGCCCCATTTACTTTATTTTTTGGTGTTCTCTTTCTCTCTCTCTCTACACACACACACACACACACACACACACACACACACACACACGGAGTGCATTTGATTATTTTTTCCGAGATGATTTGAGATTAAGAGCAAAGATCATGCCCCCTTTTCCCCTAAATACTTCGGTGTATATTTCCTAAAAACAAAGACATTTTCTTTCATAACCATAGTGCAATTATCAAAATCAGGAAATGTAACACTGGCACAATATTATATCCTATTCAGTCCATATTCAAATTTTATCAATTGCCTCAAAAATATTATTTTCCTGGTCCAAGATCCAATGTAGGATCACATATTGCATTGTTATCAAGTCCCTTTAGTCTTCTTTAATATGTAAAAGTTCCTGAGACTTTATCTTTCAGTACAATATATTATAGAAATAAAGAGTACAGGCCAGTTATTTGGTAGAATGCCCTTCAATTTGGGTTTGTCTGACATTTCCTTGCGATTAGACTCCGATTATGTATTTGGGGCGAGATACAATAGGAGTGATGTTGCATCCCTCTCAGGGCATCCTATCAGAAGCCAATAGCCTCATGCTTACATCACCAGTAATGGAGATTGAACTGGCTTTTCCGAATAAGCTAAAAAGTGTCTTATGACCTTGGCTTGGTCCTCCTGGGTGTCAGGTCCCAGCTTCATGCTCCTTCTTTCACACAGCTACCTGAGCCTTAACACTATGGAGTCCCTGGGCAGTGGGCCTGAGTAGATCTCATCTGAACTTCTATCCAAGTGGACCTGAAAGGTGTGAGTCATAGTGGAGACAGGAAGCAGGTGGCTGAGGCCATGACTTTCCTCCTGCGCAATTGGAAACAAACTTGAAGTCCCAGTATCCCTTTGGTAACTTTTGATGGCTGTGGTGGGGGCCCTAAGCTGCAATCAGCCTCTTGGCTTTCCCTCTTAAGCAGCTCATGGAGAATCCTCTTTAATGCAGCTGCGATGGGGTTAGCCAAAGTCCGCACACTCAAGTGCTACAATATGGACACAAAGTAAATCCTTGGATAGTTAATGAGAACATTTTGCATTTCCATACTGCTTTATCCTATTGCACAGCCATTTTCCCATTTACTCATGTGATATCCCTATGAACGAGATAGGGCAGAGTGCATTTCCATTTTACAGATGAGAGAAAAGAGGAGCAAAGGTTAAAGACAGCCCCAGTATGATTGAACAAAAATTTATTGAGGATCCCCTTTGGAGAAAGTATTGTATTAAAGACGTTCAAAGAATCTAGCAACATAGGAAAACTCATTTATTTAAAATTTTTTTTTCCAGATGAGTGATTATAAACATGCCTAGAAATTTGGAGGCATTTTGCACACAGGATTGTCTGGAGATTGAAAGAAAATATATTTGACATATTATTATTTGAAATTATAACTAATATTATTTAAATAATACATTTCCTCTACGTTTTAGACTTCTCTTGTCCTCCAGTAAGTGCTTGGAGAGATAGTTTGATAAATAAAGCAGGGTCCGGACCCTTAAATCACAGACGCAACTAAGTCTCATATAAGTGGATTTGGGAAGTATAATAAAGAGCTAATGAAAGGACTACTGAGCACAAAGGAGGGTGGGAAAGACATTTGACTGGGGAGGGGGGCCGTGGGACTTGGGGAAAGCTTTTCACAGAGGTGACATTTAAGTAGGGCCTTGAAGGTTGGGTGGGCTTCTGATGGCTGGTGAAGAGAACAGGCATTCCAGCTTAAAAAAAAAAATCAGCAAGAACAAAGCCAGACCATTATAAAAGTGCAGGGCACATTAAGGAAATAGCAAACCCAAACTAGAAGCCAGGTTTCTCAAAACTCCTTCTTGACTTCCTTTGGACTATAAGCTCCTTGGACCAGAGACCAACTTTTTGTTTTCTCTAACACAACAGTATCGCCAGCACAGCTGTATTTGTTACAAACATTTTGTTCTGTAGGGCTCCAAGGGACTAAGCAAATGAATTTCAGGTGCAAATTATTTGTATTGTTAAGCAATATGTGTGTTTCTGTATTTCTACACATCAATCAACAAAAACAAAATGTTGAGATAATTCCTTTTCTCCGAACATTGTTGTAACCATACAAAAAATACATTTTGAATATGAAATAAACTGCTGGAAGTACACAAGTTCAAAAGTTCATAACTAGGCCTAGTCCTATGAATTCTCCCCCTATCCTGCTTCTCACCCTATTCATTCTGAGTCACAGCTGTTGCAAATGGAGTCTCCTTGCAATTCTCCTCTTAGGTGTATCTCCCCTTCTTCTAATATAAAAGTCTGAAACAGTCTTCTCAGATAATTATTTCCACCAACCAACCAACTCCACTGAAGTGTCTGTTACATCAACAACTAAGAGCAGGGGTGAAAATGCCGAAGCCCAGTAGTTCAGTGTAGTGGGACTTAAAGTGGCCCCCATATTATTAAAAGCCCTTGTGTACTGCCTGAAAAATACCCAGGAGTTCACTAACTTGGCAGTGTCTCTCTCATTTCTATTACTTTGGTGTAACTAACGAAAAACATGCAATGATTGGAGTTATATTTTATAGAATTTTAGAGCTAGAAAGTACTTTAAACATCTTATGGCCCACATCTTCATCAATTTTAAGATGTAGAAGCAAAGGCCCTGAAGGGGGAAGTTCAATGGCAAAGATAAGCCTGGGATCTAGGTCTCCTGGCTCTGAATTCTTAGCTTTTCCTAGTACAGTGGAGTTTTATTATATGCAAGTTTAACTTAATGGAA